CCTCATGCTGAACCTGTCACCCCTCCCCCACGCTGAACGGGGTCTTGGCTCCCTCCGTCACAGCACTTCCATCTCTGGGACCCCCAAGACGGATTGGGCCCCAGCCCCGACACATGCATGTCACTGTCCTCCTCGACTGCAAGCTTCCCCTCCTCCCGGTGTGCCCCGCGCCTCCTGACATCTCTCCACCTGCTTGCAGAGATCACTGTACTTCTCAATCGTTGTCCATCTTTTCCAAAAAGATTCCTCAATGCTTTTCTTTTCAAAAGGGAAAAAAAAGGAAAAAAAAAACAATGCCAACAGCCCAGCGTCCGTGAGCAACCCAACAGTAACAAAGCATGCGTTCGGGATGGAGGAAGGTAAGGCCACACATTTCCATTTGCCGCTTGTCCTAGGGCTGGGCAGCCGGGATGATGGAGCGGGGATCTGAGCAGCCCTCCTCCCCGCCACTTCCCACACACACACCCCTGTCTGCAGGGGGAGGAAGAGAAGGGGTCTGAGAGGAGGCCTAGAGAAAAGCGCCCACCAGGCTGCCCCAGGGCCAGCAGGCCCCCTTTTCTTTCACTGTGAGTCTGTGTTGAATAATGGGCCCCCACCTCCCCTTCCCACATCATTCGTTCATTCATTCATTCATTCTAGAAATGTTTAGGGTACCCATGATTTTCCAAGCCACGAGGGATACAGAGATAAGGCACAGAAGCCCCCTGAGGGGGTCTCCCCTGGATGAGGAGACACATGGGAGGGTGAGGGGGCTAGGAGTCAGCACAGCGCAGGGTGGGGTCCGGCGGGTTCTGCGAGGGGACAGGACAAGCCCACAGAGGAGTGGACGCTGGTGCTAAGTTTTGGAAGATGAGTAGGTGTTCTGGGGCCAGGGAGCCGGTGAAGGGCTTTTTAGTCAGAGCAAGTTCTGTGAGCACAGGCCCAGAAGCCGAGAGCCCTCTGGAGGGGCCACGCACCACACGGCTTCATCACTTTTGTGTCTCAGGCACACTGGGTACCACTAGCGAGAGGTTGGCGGCAGGTCATGGAAGGCCATTTCATAATGCTGGGGTGTTCAGACCTTGCCTTGAGGACTGTTAGGAGGGGTTGAAGGCTTTCACACAGACAAAAAGCAAGATAAGGGCCATACAGTAGAGAGCCAGCTCTGGCTTCCGTACGGGGGCTGGCTTGGGTATGGGGGTGACCTGGAGTCAGGAGACCGAGGCACACAGTGCAGGCTTAGCCAGGGCAGAGGCAGAGGAGAGAGAAGTTCAGCAGAGCCTTGGTTACCCTGGGGTGGGGGCGAGGGAGAACCCTGCCCCAGTCCATCTTTCCCAGGCCTGACTGGGAAAGGGAGAAATCGAGCAAGGCGCTCAGGCTGTCCCTGGCCCCCGGGAAGAGCACATTCACCTTGTAGGCTGCTGGGCGACTTTCTCTGCTCTGTGGTGTGATGGGCTGGGGTGCGTCCACGAAGACTCACTGGTGGGGCCACCAAGGCTGCAGGGGTATTTGCTGGGGGCCTGTGCCAAGGGACAGTGGTCGTGCCAAGCCGGGGCCCGGGCTCCTGTTTCCTGTCTTCCTTGGCAGTGTGGACGTGGGGATATTTTGCATCAAGGCCGTTGAAGCTGTCCCTCAGCTGTAAAAAGGGCCAGCCTTCCGAATCCTGGTGGGTCCTTCCTCTGGGGCCTTCTTCCTTAGGCCTGGCCCCATCCTAAGGAAGCCCCTGCTTTTCTTGCTGCCGCCTGCGCTCCTCTCCCTCCCGCCTGGCCCTGCTGTCAGCGCCCCCTAGTGCCGGCCGGCCACGCTTGAGGGCAGTGGGGCCTCAGATCCATCGCTTCGGCTTGCTTGTGTGGAGGGAAAGCAACAGAGGGGGCTCTCTTCTTGGAATCTGGAGCTTCCATGTAGAATCCTCAGGGTCTGCTCTTGGCTTTCCCATCCTCTCCACCTCATGGCACAAAAAAATGGCCTGTCCCCACAAATTAGGGTGATACTGAAGAAGGAACAGGAAAAAAGAGATCCTACTTGCCTTGTTTTCTATCCTTATACAGACAGCTCTTGACTTTCCCAGGCAGCCAGTGTCCCTTAGAGGTCAGGGACCATAGCCAGGTCCTCAGCCCCTGTCCACAGTCCCATCCCCCACTTCCCCCAATCAGCCGAGAGGCCCTGGTGTCGCAGTGAACCGTCCCACCGAGACCCAGGCCACAGACTTGGTGGGTGCTTCCCAGCCCTCCCTGCCCCCAGCCCAGGTGCCCACTTCCTCCCCACTCCACTCTGTGGCCACTGCTCCTGGGGCCTGCAGGGAGTGGGGGTCAGTGGCTCGTTCCTGGCTGGCCGGTCCAGGAGTGAAGGCCATGACCCCTTCATTCCCTAACCAGAGCCAGCTGTGCTGCGCGTGCAGCGGCAGGGGGCCTGGGAGCGCTGCAGGCTGAAGACGAAGGTCTCAAGCCAGGCCAGATGAGTGCACATTTGTGCACATCTTGCTGTTTCAAATGACTGCTCTGAGGTCCTGCAGTCCTGGGTGGACGCAAGTCTACACATCTTGGCTTGGGGCAGATTCAAGACACTGCTTGGTGTGTGTACGCCCACATGTCAGAGCCCCTGGGGTAGACTGAAAGGGAATCGGAACTGGCCACCTTCAAAGAGCCAAGTAATTGGCTCTTCCTTGCACTCAGCAAACGGAATTTTGTTCCCAACCCACCTACTCCAGGACCTGACTTAGGTCAGGAGATGGTGGGACACTGGAGGGGCCTGTAGCTGAATGAGATGGGTCAAGCTGCCATATCTGAAATGGAAACATGCATGCACAGGGCCAGGGAGGCGGAGAAGAGGAGGGCGGGGCTCCTCTTTCAGGCTGACTCTGAGGGGCCTCCAGGAGACTTTGGGGCCTAAGATGAAAGGAGAAGGGAGGCACTTCAGACAAACAGGGACCCTCTCTTCAATGGAGCGGCCCCTCTCAAACCAGGTATTCCCTCCCAGGGAAACAGGACACTTGCCAGGAGGTGCCAAAGATGAGCCAAGACCTGGCCATCTGGCGGACTGTGTGCGTGAGCATGAGTGAATGAGTGGCAAAGCCAGGCGGAAGCTCCAGGCACAGGCCGGGCAGGAGAGGGGAGGTGGGGACAGATCAGGCAGGAATGCTTCAGGCCCTCCCGTACCCTGGCTTCTCCCCACCTGCCTCCCCTGTAGAGCCGGGACAGGAGGCACTGTGGAGTTGGGGGCATGCTGGCTGAGCATGAGTGTGTGTGCAGGCACGGGCACGGGCCCTGCAAAGAGCAGTGTCATCCACACACATCGTCAGGGTGGTCGTGCTTCGGGGCTAAAGGGCTTCCTGCAACAGGGGAAAGACCATGCTCTTGCACCAGAGTCTGCCAGCCAAGGGGCTTTCCCTCCCCTGTGTGCCCTGAGCTGCCCCCCGCCCATCCAGGGAGCAGGTGGGGATCCCCCTGCAGAAGAATACAAGTGAACCCAGAATGACGCCTCAAGGCAGGCAGCCTAACCCAGGTAGTGCCCTACTCCCCAGACCCAACTCTGACCAGGCCTGGCCCTCTCCTGTGTCTTGCAGAACTTCAGCGAGAGGGAAGCATCGAGACTCTGAGTAACAGCTCAGGCTCCACCAGTGGCAGCATCCCAAGAAACTTTGATGGCTACCGATCTCCGCTGCCCACCAATGAGAGCCAGCCCCTCAGCCTCTTCCCGACTGGCTTCCCGTAGGTACCAGCAACTGCTTCTGACTGGCCGGCCCCCTCCCCTGCTGGAGGAGGGGAGAAGCCTTCCTCTGGTCCTACCCTTCAGTCTCTGCTCCTCCTTCATCAACACCTTCCCCAAGCTTAGTGACAGCAGCCGCCATCCTACCTGGATGGAGAAGAGACCCTTCTCCCAGCACCTCAGCGTACCCTCCCTCTGCGTACCTGTCAGTGGAGGCTGTGGCCAGGAGAGACTGCAGAAGCCCGGTCCCTGTGTATGTTTGCACATGACATCCTGCATTGGATCTGCTTTTGTATTTTTTAACCATACCCATGAGGGAGGGGGGACCTAGAACAGTGACCAGATGTGGGAGACTGGGTGGGGGCAGGGTCGATGGTCCAGCCGGGCTTCTTGACCCTGAGTAGACAGCCGAAGCCTCACCTCACGTCTGGCTGTGATACACACTGCCCGCAGCTTCCCTTGGTCAGCCCCCCTCCAGCACGGGGTGAACTGAGGCCCAGAGTATTAGGGAAGGAGGAAGGGAGGAGACACCTCCTCCCTTCCTCCCTTCTTTCCCCATCTGTTTATGGGAAGTGTTTGTCTTTCTTATCTTTAAGCCCCTTTATCCTGGTCCTGTACTGTTCAGTGAAGGAAACCGTGGTTATTGAGGCCCTGTCGAGAAGTGCACGTCTTGTCCAATAAATCATGCTGCAGTTGGTGTCTATCCCTGAGTTGCTGGGGTCAGGGTCCTCTCCAAATGCTGAGAGTCCTGTGGCCTGAGCGCCCAGGATCCCAACGCCCCCTTTCATGTGCACCTGGGGGCAGAAGGAGTCAGTGGAGGGTTGGAATGGGAAGGAGAACTTTTGCCCAGGAATTTGGATGAGGCCTGATTTAAGCCCATTCTCCACATCTTGCCTGTTACCAGAGGCAGTGAGTTCTTGGGGTACCACAGGCTTGGACCCTCCTCTCTGAGGGTCTTGCCTGGCCATGTGCTGGTGGGTTGCTCTGGGGAGGAGAGCCTGGCAAAGCCTTTTCCAGGGGTTGCCTTGTAACTTGCCTCTCTCTTCAAACTCAGAAGATGGAAGGGTGGGTATCTCATGAAACCTGGCTGGAATCTTCAGATGACAAGTGCCTGATTTTGTCTCCCTGCCCCACCACCACCACTTCTGGACCTCAAATGAGTGTCAACAAGGAGATGGGAACAGGGAGGACAAATGGTGTGTTGAGCAGGAAGCAGGAAGAAGACGAATGCTAGTCCTAGTGCCCCTTCCCTGGCCCACACTTCCCAGAGACCTCAGGGAGGCCTTGGAGATGGAAGGAACCCACGGAGCCAGGTGTGGTTTGGGTTAAGTTTAATGGAACAGCCATAGAAAAGTTGAGTTCACAAACAAGCAGGCCTTCCCATGCAACTGTCCAGCCAAAGCTGGGGCTGCTCCTGGGGACCCTGCCCCCTTCACACACACCCATCCCATCCCTGGTGCCCAAGAGGCCCTCATCTTCAGTTCACTCTGCCAGATCAGTTGGGCACGTTGGGGGCACAGGTGGAGGGTTGCTGAATCCCACTAGACTCCGTAGGCTGAGAGATGATCCTACACAGGGTGGTCTAAGCCTGGGCACCTGCAGGGTGAGAAGTCACATGCCAGACTGAGGCATGCTGGGAACACAAGCCTGGCCCCAGCAATAGGGGTTGCTGGAGGAGCTGCAGCTTTTCCCCATCTTGCTGAATTATTGATGGGCCTGGCACTGCCCCTACCACCAGCTAAGCCATGTTTCAGTCAAAAAGGGACAAGGAGGAGAGTGCTACCAGGCTACCTGTGCATGCTGCCCATGGCCTGTCCCCCTGCTCTAGGGAGCATAAGCCCCTCTGAAACCACCCTAGGAAACATGGATGTGGCAGAGACCTTGCTGCCAGGGGCTCTCTCAGCCATTCAGGGAACCGGCTGGCAGCTTAGAGAATCAGGAGTCCTCCCTGGCCTGGCCCTTCCCCTCCAGCGGGGGCAAAACAGCTGTGGCCTCCCCCAGGCAGGGAAAGTGGTGGGTGTAGGGCTGGACTTGCCGGCTGAGCTTGCAGGACAATCTGGTTATTCATCTGCTCGAAGCCAGGGCAACTCTTTGAGTATGCGGGGGAAGGGTGAGGATAAGAGAGGCCAGATAAGCTGGCCCCACGGCGGCTGCCACTAGAGCTCAGGTTATCAGAAAGGCTTTGGGCCTGGCCTCCGGCTAATTGGGGAGGTTATGGAGCCTGCCATAGCCTGTAATCAGCTGGAAGTGAGAGCTGGGCCCAGGGTGGGGTCCTTACTGGCCACTGGCCCCTGAGCAGCTGCTTCCTATCCTCTACCGATAACATCCAGGGCAATCTGGGACTCACTCCAGCCCCAGCAGACCTCATGGTGGCATCACCTGGGAGGGCATCAGAGCATGAATCACACTGTGGCCGGACCAGGGGACCTTTAGGAATCCACGTGACCTTCCGATTCTCTCGGCACTACCTGGTCAACGGGCAACTTTACTATGGACTTCCTCTCAATTTGATGAAGAATATCTTCATGATCTGGAAAGAGGCTAGTGGGAGCCAGGGTGGCAACTGAAGGAGCGAGGGTACTGTCTAGGATGAGAAAAGGCCCAGTGGGCCTGAGGCTGATGCAAGCACACAAGCTCGAACACCAGAGCCAGCCAGCCCTTCTGTAAACGAGCAGAGGCCAGGCAGGCAGCCACCAGTCTGGACATGGATATGGTTTCTCAGTGGTAAGGTTTTATTTCACAATTCAGGGGCTCACAAAAACTAGAAAATACCTGAGAGTTCTGTTTGATCCTCATTTCTTACAAATGGCAAGCAAGCCTGAGACCCAGAGTAGGGCAGGGCCTAGCCCAAGGTCACAAAGTCACAAACCTAGTGAACCGATCCCTGCCTGCACCTAGCTGCTTCACACCCTGGCCAGTTCCCTTAGAGGGACCCAAATCAGAGCTGAGCTTCCCGTCCTATGCCCCTATCCCATCCAGGATGCTGACCCAGCTGACCTCCATCCCCACTCCATCAGGCTTTCCGGCTGGGGCTGAGAGACTGCCTTGGCAGCTGCTCCCTTGCCCTGTATAGCTGGAAGGCAGCCCTCTCCTGCAGACCTAGAACTGGAGACTCTAGAGGCAAAGGGACAGTGCATCCTGTATGTTTTGAATTCAGAGCAAGAGCCCAGGGGAGGGTGGCGGCCCTGGCATCTCAGGATCACCTTGCTGTAAGAGCAGGGGTAGGCAGCTCAGCAGCACCGCCTTCTTGGGAGTGGATTTGGACTTGCTCTCTTTAAGGTCCCAGGGTCCCATCCCAGCTCTGCCACCAGCAGGCACGTGGTCTTGGGTGAATGACTGCACCTCTGGGGTTCAGGGTCCTCAGTGTAAAGAGGGAAGAGAGCAGCATGCCCTTCCCGGAGGTGCAACACAGAGCAGAAGCAGGCAAAGAGGAAGCTGCGGGTCCACGAGGCAAACCCAAGGTTCGAGGTGCAGAAGTTGATAGCCAAGCCAGGTAGCCTCTTAGCAGGCAGGGATCAGGAGGGCAGAGGCTGCGCAGCTGGAGCCCGGGACTGTGGGGCGCCGTCCCCACGCTGCTCCAGGGAATCCCGACCCGCTCCCTACGAAAGCGTTTCCGAATGCGAACCCAGAGCCTGTAAGCGCCCCGGCAGTCCCACCCCTCTGTCGCAGGTGGGCCCGTCCTAGGGGTCCTTCCCTGCCCTCTACCCCCTCTCACAAGCCACTCAGTAGAGCGCCCCCCCGTTCACGCTCCCGTGATCCCAGAAACCCGCACCCATGATCTTGCCCCATGCACATCCACGCACGAAGGTTCACAGACACGCACCTCACTTCTGCGGCCCAGGTGTCCCAAGCATACAGCTGCCACAGCGGAACCGCGGCCCCGAGCCAGTGAGCCGTCTGCAGCTCCCAGGTTACCGGGCTCCCCAGAACTCTGGGAAAGTCATCCAAAGTCCAGCGGGGATGCAGGCCGCGTGATCTCGCCCTCAGGTGCAGAGCGACACCCTTCCCGGCCCGCAGAGGCCAGGCTGGGCCTTGCCCTCGCATCCGCCAGGATGATGAGGGACGGGGCCACACAGGCCGTGGCTGCTGAGGCGCTACCCTGGGCCACCCCCGCAACAAGAAGGGAGTCCGGCCGCCCGCTCTCCCCGCGTCCCCCGCCCCATCCCAAGCAGTTGGCCGACCCTGCGCGGGATAATTGGGACAGGAGGGAGGCGACAGGCGGGCGGCGGCTCCAGAGAGACTGCGCGCCTGTCAGCGGCAATTTGTTTAAGTGGACGGGACGGGCCGGGCCGCTGCGGGCTGGGGTCACGGAGGCCGCAGCCCCCACCCCAGCCAGACCTGGGACCGCGGGGGAGCCGGCCGGGCCGCTAAACCGGGCTGGTTGGCGCCAGGGCTCCGGGAGGTGCTGTATGGCTGGGAAGCCGTGATGGGAATCAACTCTGTCTGGGGAGTGTCCTTCACCCCCACACTCCCCAGGTCCAGGAGGAGACCGACGCGCCCGGCGGCACCCTCACAGCTGCCCATAGCACGGGGCCACGCGCGTCCCCTGTGCTTAGCCGGGCACATTCGTCTGCCAGCGAGCGCTGAAGCCAGTCTGCAGCCCGCGCCCCGTGACTCGGACGCACGTCCGTCGTCCCCTCTGCCACACGGCCGCACAGCCCAATCTTTCTGCCACCCCCTGCCCGCGGGCTCACGCAACCCCGGCCTCGCACACAGACGAGGAAGCGGCGGGGACCCCCTGCCACCTCGGAGGCTCAACCTGGGGAAGGTCCCAGCAGTGCCCCTCGACCCTTCGAGGGGTGGCGGGGCCAGCGGACGGAAGGGCAGCCGCGCCTGCCTCAGGACCGCGGCCCCACCCGGCCCAGGCCGCCCCCTCCCCCTTTCGCTGTTGCGGGAAGCGCGGGCGCACTGTCCGCGCACCACCCCGGGAGCCCGTCCGACCGCCCAGGTCGGAGACCGCCTGCGAGAGGGAGGGGCGGCCGAGCGCGCGTCCCCCGCCCGTCTGCGGGGCCCGGCCGATGCGAAGTGACAGGGCCGGAGCTTTGTTGTGGAGCCTCGGCCGCCTGGCGCCAGCCGCCCCCGCCCGCGCCCTCCCCCTCCAGCCCCGGGCGGCCCGCTAGGCGCCCCCCGGGGCCTCTTAAGAAACACGCACACTCGGCCCGGGGGAGTCCTCCAGGGGCGCGGGTTCCTGGGAAGAGGGAGAGGGCTGGCGAGGGAGGGGCCCAGCGGGAGCCGCACGGCGTCGCTTCAGGGCCTTTCAGGCCTCCCTAGCGCCAGTTTTCGTTGAGCCTCCGGCATTCCTAGCCAGAGAGTTTGGCTGGGGGTCGCTACAGACTCTTCAGAGCGGCTGCCACAGGACCTCCGGGCGATTGCGGGACGGCGGGGCGGGGCGGGCGGTGGGATCCTGACGGGACAGACCCCCGGGAAGCCAGAGGGCAGGTCCGTGGCACTGTAGGTGGGGTCGAGGTCCCCAGAGGCAGCCATTGCACTGTCGCCGCCGGGTTTCTTGGGTCAATAGCCCAGGCCTGAGTGTTTCAAACTCTCCAGGCCTCGGACCCCCTGGACCAGCTATGGATGGACTAATGAAATGGACTAACGTCTAAAACGCACACATTTAGATGTACACATACTCTTACAAGGACAAAAGTACGTGTACACACACACACATTTTCACACTCGACTTTGCAAATGCATTCACAGATTTCTAGGCCGGTACCTGGATACCCGGCTAGGGAAAGCTGCCCTGGTTCTCTGGTCACCTCATCGGCTGCACAAACGTGTCACAAGGGTCCCTTCCGGAAGGGGCATATCTCGGCTAAGGTGGAGCGGCAGGTATTTGCCTGTGCAAAACTGGCAACGGATCCTACCCCGGCTTCGTAGCCTGCGCAGCGCGGAGTCAAAGATTCGTTCTGGCCAGAAAGAAGGTACTAAGAGAGGAGCGACCCAGCCAACGGCGAGGTCGTGGAGAAAACCCTGTGGGGGCGGCGCTCATACGTGCAATAATGAGTTGTGAGTGCTTGGGGTCGGTCCCGAAAAGTAGGGGAAAACGGTTGCAGAGGCCGAACTGCTTCCGCAGGTCCCAAATCCGCACTGCCGGAAGAGATCCAGCCTTTAAATGCTGCTCCCAACGTTCAACACGAAGTGCCCTGCGACCGGTGTGCGCAGCGGGCGGGCGCCTGCATGGGTCAATGTTGGATGGGGGATGTACGCGCCCACCACGCGGTTTTACGGGTGGGAGTATCGCCTGTGGTTAGTGTAAGCTCTGTTTTTTCCTTCGGAATACAGACCTCCAGTAATCAGCCTGAGTGTCCGCGCCCGAGCCCGATTGGAAGCAGGTGCGTGGTCGCTCCACTCTCCCTGTGCACACTAAGTTACAGCTCTTGCTGCGCGCAGGGAGCACCACACGGGGCCCGAAACACACACCACACACACACACACACACACAAAATCACTTCATAGGGAGGGAGGGAATACTGGGGCTGCCGGAAGACGGAAGACAAGACTGATCGTGGAGAAGGGGGCTTCAGTCATAGGTGCTACCAGACACCCCGACTCCGCACTCGTTGCTTAGCACTCCTGAACTTAGGAGACTCCGAGAGATGAGAACAAACTCTTAAAAAGTGATTGACAAGGCGAAAAGAGGATGCTGGTATTTCGGATGACAGAGACTTTCGTCTCCGGTACCGGATAGGGCGAAAATTCGTTGGGTCGCTGGTGGAGAATCCGGGGTCCGCTCGCGCAGTGCCGCCCTGTGCTCAGCGAAAGGTGCGCTCACCTTTCTAACCTCGAGGACCCACTCTCCCGGCCGCCAGAAAGCTCGGGGCGGGGCCAGGGCCTGCGGAGAACTCCAGGTTCCTTCGAGTATTCCGGTTTGGGCGGGCGCCGGTAGGGGGTCCCCGCGTTTCCCCAGCGCAAGGGCCGCATCCCGCTCCCTCCTGCGCCCGGCCCCAGCAGGGCTCGGCCATGACTCCACTCACCAGCTCCCGCCACCTGGGATCCGCTCCGGGACCTCGGCCGCCCGAGCCTCCCGATTCGCCCGCCCACTGGCCTCGCTTTCCAGCGCCTGCAGTCTCTCTCTGGAGCGCAGGGACCCCCCAGGCGGCGCCGCGACCGGGAGCTGGGTCGGAGGCCAGTCTGGGGCGCCGGCCAGAGCGGCCGAGCCTCCAGGCACGGGAGAAGAAGGGCGCCCTCTCTCCTCTCCGGGCCGTGTCAATGCTTTGCACTTGGGGCCAGCGTGCGGCTGCGGGTCCTTCCCCAAGGCCCTGGGACCCCGGCGCCCCTCGCCTTAGGCCCTTTCGGCGGGTCAGGTCAGCCTCCGCGCTCTCCAGTCCCGCGCAGGCAGCAGTGGAAGCGGGCGGGAGGTGGGGGCCGGGACAGGAGGAGGGGGTCTCAGGGCCGGCGGCCCGTCATTGGTTATATTTTATTCTGTTGACATGTTTTCTTACTGCTAAGGCTTCCGACACCCTTCTCCCAGGCCCCCCCTCCCGGCCAGAGCTTGGCCTGAGCTGTCAAAAACCCCGCCCCCGGAGACCCACAATTGGTCCAAAAAGCGTAAAATCAGCAATCAAGGGGGGCCTGGCTCGTTAGCGCAGGGGATCCGAGCTGGGCAGGACATGTGAGATAGTCACAGTTTTCCAGAGATCACGACAAGATCTAAACCAGTCGCGCGTGGTCCCCGGCGCCGGAGCAGGCCAGCCCAGCCCAGCCCGGCCCCCGCGCAGAGCCCCCCGGCCGCCCCCCGCGCACAGAGCCCCGTGCCCCTTGCGGTGCGCCGGACGGAGGGCCCGGAGGAGCAGCTGCCGCGCCCCGCCACCCGGGTCGTCCGTCCTCCGCGCGCGCCGCCGCCCGGGCCGGGGGTCCGAGCCGCGCGCCCCCGGCCCCGGCCCCCGGGCGCCTGGGCCGGATGTCCCGATGAGAGAGCCGGCGCTGGCGGCCAGCGCCATGGCTTACCACCCGTTCCACGCGCCACGGCCGGCCGACTTCCCCATGTCCGCCTTCCTGGCGGCGGCGCAGCCCTCCTTCTTCCCGGCACTAGCGCTGCCGCCCGGCGCGCTGGCCAAGCCGCTGCCCGACCCGGGCCTGGCAGGGGCGGCGGCGGCGGCAGCGGCTGCTGCAGCAGCAGCGGCCGAGGCGGGGCTTCACGTCTCGGCTCTGGGCCCGCACCCGCCCGCCGCGCATCTGCGCTCTCTCAAGAGCTTGGAGCCCGAGGACGAGGTGGAGGACGACCCCAAGGTGACGCTGGAGGCCAAGGAGCTGTGGGACCAGTTTCACAAGCTGGGCACGGAGATGGTCATCACCAAGTCGGGGAGGTAGGGCGGCCGGCTGGCCGGCTGGAGGGCGCGCGGGCGGGCGGGTGGGCTGGGGCACGCGACCGCACCGACCAGCGCAGAGCCCGGGACTCCCGGCTCGGGCTCCAGGCTCTGGCCCTAACGCCACGCTTCGCTCCCACAGACAACCAAGTTGACTTTTCTCGTTTGGCACTGGAGTAATTTTTTTTAACAAAAACACTACAATCCCCGAAAGAAATAAAATGAAAACAGGCTGCTAAAGAATAGCCCCAACAGTTCTGAGCCAGCGCGAAGGAGGCCCCGCGGCTTGGCCCTGGCGGTCTTCTCCGCCCCGCACCTCTCGCCCTTCTGCGTCCGGTCCGTCTCCCGAGCTCGAGGGAAATTCAGCCTCTCCCAGACTCTGCTCCTACCCCGGAGCCCCTAGTGGGACCCGCGCCCCGCTAGCCCCAGGCCGGTCGCTTAGTTCCCGGCAGCGAGCCCTGGGTCAGCCGAGCCCACCGCGTCACTGGGCTGGGATCCCTTGCCCCACCGCGGGGATCCGAGCCCTGGACGCATCCACCGCCCCAGGCCTTAAAGCCAGAAGAAAGCCACAGCCCCAGCCCCTCCACCCTTCGACTCAGCTACCGAGAATCCAGGCCTCGGGTTCACCCTCTTCCCCCGAACTGCACGGCCAGGATGTCTGATCAGGCTCTATAGCCCAGTTCCCAATACAAACACCTTCCACATTTGTTTCTGGGAGCTTCCGTCCCAAGTGGGTATTTCCCCTGAACGAATTTCAGGGAGATTCAGGAGAAGCGATAATATTCTGGAGGACCTAGACTTCTCTCCTGGACATCGGCTTTCATCTCAGATCAGGAAGAAAGAGGGTCCCCAGATCTGAGCACAAGGCCTAAAGGAGGCCGTTTAGGGTCTGACAGGCAGAAATGGGATCTTCCGGGAGCAACAACCACATATGGCGTCTCCCGGGCAGCGATGAGAGGGCAGAGCAGAGGACCACAGGGGGAACAGCCAGGCAGCAGCGGTGTGCGCCGTAGCGAGGAGGGAAAAAAAAGAAGAGGGGTCCTCGGACCCAGAAGAGCCGGTTCCAATGGGATCTCCTCCCTTCCCTTCCTCCCAGGCGGATGTTCCCCCCCTTCAAGGTGCGAGTCAGCGGCCTGGACAAGAAGGCCAAGTACATCCTGCTGATGGACATTGTTTGCCGCTGACGATTGCCGCTATAAGTTCCACAACTCGCGCTGGATGGTGGCAGGCAAGGCCGACCCTGAGATGCCCAAACGCATGTACATCCACCCAGACAGCCCAGCCACGGGGGAGCAGTGGATGGCCAAGCCTGTGGCCTTCCACAAGCTGAAGCTGACCAACAACATCTCTGACAAGCACGGCTTCGTGAGTGTAGGGGCAGGGTGGGAACAACGGGCGGGAGATTGCCCACCTGGCACTGCAGCTGAGCAGGAGAGCAGGGCCCCAGAATCTCCCAGGGGGAAGCGCTGGGCAACCCCCAGAGTACTCCTGCCCGGGTCACTGCCCTGTGACCTACCGGAGCTCCGCTCATCAAGCCTGGAGAACGGTGGGATTGGTGGCTGTTAAGCTCCAGGCAGCTCGCAATCTCAGTTCATCAGGCTGTGGAGGGCCCCTCCTGGGTCAAGAGGGAAGCAGGGTGCTGCCCGGACTGGGTCTGCAGTGCTGGGCCCCAGAGGTCACCCTGGTCTTGGCCTGTAGGTGCCGAGCTTGGAAGACCTGCCCGTGACCTCAACTTGTCCCTCACCCTTCCACCAAGACCCACGTCCCTGGCCCTCCCCCAAGACCAGGGGATTTAAAAGTTAAACCACCCTCCCCACCCACTCCCCAGCCTCCCTAAGACTTTCCCTCCTCCCACAGGCAGATGCCCAACTGGGAGGAGAGGGTTTGGGGGTTCTCCCCATTTATGCCTGAGCAAGGCCCCAGCAAATGGGGGGTGGGGTTTCATAGAGCAAAAGGAAGAGCCCATTCTGAGGTAGGGCAGCTTGGTGAGCCCCCAAAGGCTGGAATCCTCTCCCTGTGGGGTTAGAGGCCTTTGCAGAGCCAGAAAGGAAGAGAATGTTAAGACTGGAATTGTAGGGTTTTATTTTGTTTAGGGTTTTGGGGAGGTCTTTTTGTTTGTTTTGTTTTGCTATGTTTCATTTCTGTTCCCAACCGGGAATTTTTTTTTAATGGCTA